TTACTCCATAGATCCCACCATTTGCCCATTTCAATTTCATAGCCAAAGTTTCTCTCCCATGCTATTAGAAGGCTATTGGATGCTGGGGGTTGAGGGAAGGCAAAAACGCCTCCGTTTTTTGCAAAATATGGCCCCTTTTTTGCCTGTTTTCAGCAAAAATGAGGGCATTTTTGCCTTCCCCCAGCCCTGCTGAAGCCTGCAGAGTGCTTCTGAGGGCTGAAGGAAGACAAAAACACCTCTGTTTTTGCAAAAAAGAAACCGCCCATTTTTCATCCATTTTTCGCAATGGAAGAAATGTTAATTAATTTGGGGAAAATGCTCCTTCTTGTTGTTGGTCACTCACGAAATTGTGTCCGACTCTTCACATACTCAAGGACCATGGATCAGTTTGAGAAAGGGTCCAAAGAAAATTAAGACCCTGCCTTATTTTCAGGGAAACACAATAGCACTAAATAAATAAGAATTCGCTCCAAAGAGTTTATTGTCTTCATATTGCATAAGATTTTGAACTACGAAACGATAAATGTGGGTGCGGGTATGCACGTGTCTTTGATGCACTTTAGTGACAATAATCACTTTTACACATTGTTTCCATGTGTTGCAGGAGTGATAAAAAATCAGAACCATGTTAGTTCAGAAGACACTCACCAGAAAACCATGTCAGCACTTTTGAAAAGCGAGTTTCTGTTAGAAGGAGGTCATTCACTTGTGATTGGTGCTCTGAACACGGTACGGTTAATTTTGTTAATGTCTGCTTTATCGTAGTCGGCATGTATTTAATAGGTTAACGCTTTTCAATACTACAAGCTCGTTATAACAGCTAAATAAGATCCAAGTTGCGTTGTCTTCATTGAAGTAATCAGTCTATGAAATCGGTTCACCGACAAAAGCGCGCCCGACTAAACCGCGGTGACAAAACCGCGAGTTCTGAACCACGCCGACGAATGAGCCCTGAATCACGCCGACAACAGCACGCAGACAGAAGGGCGCTGTAAACCTAACCCTAACCCTAAACGTAACCCTAACCCTAACCCTAAACCTAACCCTAACCCTAACCCTAAACCTAAACCTAAACCTAAACCTAAACCTAAACCTAACCCTTACCTTAACTTAAATTGCCCTTCTGCCGACGCGCTGTTGTAAATCGCACTTCTGTTGATGCGCTGTTGTCGACGCGCTGTTGTCAACGCGCTGTTGTCGGCGCATTGATGATGTTGCGGTTTTAGTGACGTTTTGTCAGTGCGCTTTTGTCGGGTCACGTATGAAATCATCTCCTTTTAATGACCCCATAATCAGGGGTGGGATTGAAAAATTTTAGCAACCAGTTCTCTGCCCAGTTGCTGGGTCGGCGTGGCCTACTCGGCCTCCTGTACCACAGTGGGAGGTGGGAATGTTTCAGAGGGTTTTTTTGAGCCTCCGGGAGGGTGAAAACGACCTCCCCCAGGCTCCGGAGGCCGGAAAAAGGCTCATTTCCGGAACTTCTGGGAAGCCCATTTTTCACCCTCCCAGAGGTTCTGCATGGGCTCTGCACTCTCCCGGATTTTGGACAGGCCACGTGGAGACTCCTGGGAGGGGAGGGGTGGGGTGGGAGGGACAAGCCTGTCCTTCCAGCTGCCGAACTGGTGTGAACCGGCTGAATCCCACCTCTGCCCATAATTCCTTGTGGGGTGGAGTCCGGGCAACTGAATGGAGCTGAGTGTTTCCTGGCCGGATGCCTTTCGTGTTTGCCAGTGCGGAGTTTTATTTACTTATAAGTTTGAAAAATAGTCATGGGTCATTTTTTTTCCACAGTGCCATTGAAATTTTGAATGGTCACTAAATGAACTTTTATAAGTCAAGCATTGTCTGCGTTTGCATCAAGGCTTGATAAATTGAAGATTTATCTAAACACATATAACCATCTGGGATTCTTTTTTTCTTTTTTTGCTTCTAGTTTATTGGAAATCCAGGCATTCAGAGATGTGGACTTCAAATACTTTCCACCATAAGAGAACGTCCGATTTTATCACAAATGTTGTCTAACCTAGGCATGGCGGATACTCTCCTCCACACACTACAGATGTATCCAGATGATCAAGGCAAGCAGAAAACCATTTATTTTGAATCTGAAAATGTCCAGTCATCAGATCAAAAGTTTGAACAACCTGGAGAATGTGCAGACTTATGAACGAATTCCTAAAATGTTCTGTAATTTGCTTTGAGACATGTAGGATGGATAGCTGTGTTTTAGAAGGTTGATCTAGAATCGTGATGGCAAACCTATGATGGCAAGCCAGGGGCGGCACGCAATGCCCCCTCTGGGGACTTGTGAGCCGTAGCCCTAGTTCAGCTCTGCTGCGCATGCGTGCGTACCTCCCACCGGCCAGCTGGTCTCCGCATCTCTGCCGCACATGCTGGGGGGGCCAGGGGGCATACGGGCCTCCCGTGTGCGCATGTTTGGGGCGGAGGGGCATGTGCATGAATAAAGGTGGCCCGGGGGTGTGTGTGCATGCGTGGGGCAGGGAGCATGCGAGGAGAATAGAATATAATGTAATATCCCCAACTTACTTTTTTTCTTTCCAGAAATACAACGCTTAGGTTTAAACTTTCTGGGATCCTTGATATCAGAAAAGATCTTATGTACGACTACTTTCTATGCCTTGGTAACCCCTTTGGTTTCAACATTACGGCGCTTTAAGGATGTTGTCGATATTCAAGCTCAGGTATATACACAAATGCAAGAAGGTTGCAAATGGGCAAGAAGATTCTTTTTTTTTTAAAAAAGTTTTTAAAAAAAATTCTCCTATATATAGCTACAAGTATACATTCACATAATTATTATTCTTATTTATCCTTATCACTTTTATATATTTGTTTTTTCCATATAAAAGGTTAGAATAAAATATACATCCTGGGTTGCTTTGCTTACCATCCCATGAACCTATTTTGTATTGTCATCATCCTAATTTTCTTTCCACCCTCTCTCTCTTCTTCCTTCCTTCCTTCTCTCCTTTCCATTTCCTACTTCCCTTGCCTCTCCCCTTCTCGTCTCTTCCTCTTCCTCTTCCCCTTCCTATCCTCTCTCCTTCTCTTTCTATCCCTTCCCTCCTTCCCTCTTCCTTCTCTCCCCTTTCCTCTCTCCTCCTCTCTTCCTTTCCTTTTCTACTGTTGTGGTTGTCTCTTTTTATCTCTCATCTATGCCTATGCCTATTCCTATTCTATTCTATTCCTGATTCCATTCTATTCTATTTCTATTATATTCCTGATTCCTTTCCATTCTATTTCGGTTTCTATTTTTATTTATATTATTTCTATTCTATTCTATGCCTATTCCTATTCCTACTCTGTTCTATTCCTGATTCCATTCTATTCTCTTTCTGTTTCTATTTCTATTATTCTATTCCTGATTCCATTCCTATTCCTATTCCTATCTATTCCTATTCCTATTCCCATTCCCATTCCTACTCTATTCTATTCCTGTTTAATTTCCATTCTATTTCTGTTTCTATTTCTATTCTATTCCTGATTCCATTCCTATTCCTAGTCCTGCCCCGTCCGACTGAATGCACAGGTAATAATTAAGTCCCTGATAGAATCTGCCCATATTGGAACCGCTAAGGAACAAGTTTTAGCCTCAAACTCTCCATTCCGGGTTTATTAACGGTACATTTGAGCTGAGGATCTATTTCCATTGAATTGCAGGGATTCCAAATGATTGCAACCATCCTCGACTCCTCCCCTTGGTTTGCAAAGCTGCTCATACAGGAATCGTTCGAGACCTGTCTCTTCCACCAGCTCTCCGTGTGTTTTAACGAACAAAGAGACCAACAGGTAATTCACAATTTCGGGGGTACAGAGCTTACAGCGGTTCATTTAGTGACCATTCAGAGTTACAACATGACTGAAAAAAAATGACATGAATATTGTTCCACCCTTACGACTGTTGCAGCCTTTTCCCTCCATGCTCACGTGAACAAAATTCGGACGCTCAGCCCCCGACTCATATTTATGACGGTTGCAATGTCCATGGGGCCACAATGCAAAATCAATGGGGGAAGCCGGATTCACTGAACAGCCCCGTTACTAATTTAAGAACTGCAGTGATCCTCTTAACAACCATGGCAAGGAAGGTTGTATAATGGGACAAAATGCACTCAACAACCGTCTCACTTAGTGGCGGGACTATTGGGCTCAATTGCGGTCGTAGGTCGAGGCCTAGACGTATTCTCCTTTGATTCTTTGGACTTCAACTCATTTATTTTAACACTAGTGGGAGGACCGTCTTTAATTTATGAAATGCATTCACGTTGATGTAAGTTAAGCCTCAAATGAACATGCACCCAAGTTTCTTTATGTTCACATTTTTATTGAGTTATATAGAGTAATATAAAGCACAAAATACAAAGTTAATAGGAAAGGAGCAGTGGTGGGATTCAGCCGGTTCGCACTTATTCGGGAGAACCGGTTGGTAACTTTCTAAGTAGTTCAGAGAAC